TTTCTTATCTGTTATTTTTATATAATAAATTCTCTTGTCTTTTAAATTCAGGTCGTTATATTAATTTAGCACGTCATTGATTGACTATAGCTCATTCCATGCTTCCATCTGATTGACTACAGCACATTTCATGCTACCATCTTTATTTTACAGTTGTTATTTATCTCATCTGAGAATTTACAGTAGTTATTTATCCCATCTGAGAATTTACAGTCGTTATTTACCCCTTCTGAGAATTTACAGTTGTTATTTATCTCATATGAGAATTTACAGTCGTTATTTATCCCATCTGAGAATTTACAGTTGTTATTTATCCCATCTGCGAATTAACAGTCGTTATTTATCCCATCTGATAATTTACAGTCGTTATTTATCCCATCTGAGAATTTACAGTTGTTATTTATCTCATCTGCGAATTAACAGTTGTTATTTATCTCATCTGAGAATTTACAGTCGTTATTTACCCCATTTGAGAATTTACAGTCGTTATTTACCCCATCTGAGAATTTACAGTCGTTATTTATCTCATATGAGAATTTACAGTCGTTATTTATCCCATCTGAGAATTTGCAGTTGTTATTTATCTCATCTGCGAATTAACAGTCGTTATTTATCCCATCTGAGAATTTACAGTCGTTATTTATCCCATCTGAGAATTTACAGTTGTTATTTATCTCATCTGCTAATTAACACTTGTTATTTATCCCATCTGAAAATTTACAGTTGTTATTTATCTCATCTGAGAATTTACAGTCGTTATTTATCCCATCTGAGAATTTACAGTTGTTATTTATCTCATCAGAGAATTTACAGTTGTTATAAATCCCATCAGAGAATTTACAGTTGTTATTTATCCTATCTGAGAATTAACAGTCGTTGTTTATCTCATCTGAGAATTTACAGTCGTTATTTATCTCATCTGAGAATTTACAGTTGTTATTTATCCCATCTGAGAATTAACAGTCGTTATTTATCCTATTTGAGAATTTACAGTTGTTATTTATCTCATCTGAGAATTAACAGTTGTTATTTATCCCATCAGAGAATTTACAGTTGTTATTTATCTCATCTGATAATTTACAGTTGTTATTTATCTCATCTGAGAATTTACAGTCGTTATTTATCCCATCAGAGAATTTACAGTTGTTATTTATCCCATCTGAGAATTTACAGTTGTTATTTATCTTATCTGAGAATTTACAGTCGTTATTTATCCTATCTGATAATTTACAGTCGTTATTTATCTCATCTGAGAATTTACAGTTGTTATTTATCCCATCTGAGAATTAACAGTCGTTATTTATCCTATTTGAGAATTTACAGTTGTTATTTATCTCATCTGAGAATTAACAGTTGTTATTTATCCCATCAGAGAATTTACAGTTGTTATTTATCCCATCTGAGAATTTACAGTTGTTATTTATCCTATCTGAGAATTTACAGTTGTTATTTATCCTATCTGAGAATTTACAGTCGTTATTTATCCAATCTGAGAATTAACAGTCGTTATTTATCCCATCTGAGAATTTACAGTCGTTATTTATCCTATCTGATAATTTACAGTCGTTATTTATCCCATATGAGAATTAACAGTCCTTATTTATCCAATCTGAGAATTTACAGTCGTTATTTATCCAATCTGAGAATTAACAGTCCTTATTTATCCAATCTGAGAATTTACAGTCGTTATTTATCCTATCTGATAATTTACAGTTGTTATTTATTCTATCTGAGAATTAACAGTTGTTATTTATCTCATCTGAGAATTAACAGTCCTTATTTATCCAATCTGAGAATTTACAGTCGTTATTTATCCTATCTGATAATTTACAGTTGTTATTTATCCAATCTGAGAATTTATAGTCGTTATTTATCCCATCTGAGAATTAACAGTCCTTATTTATCCAATCTGAGAATTTACAGTCGTTATTTATCCTATCTGATAATTTACAGTTGTTATTTATTCTATCAGAGAATTTACAGTTGTTATTTATTCTATCTGAGAATTAACAGTTGTTATTTATCCCATCTGAGAATTTACAGTTGTTATTTATTCTATCTGAGAATTAACAGTTGTTATTTATCCCATCTGAGAATTTACAGTTGTTATTTATCCCATCTGAGAATTTACAGTTGTTATTTATCCCATCTGAGAATTTACCCGGTTATGTTACTGGG